AAATAATAAATAATAAATAATAAATAATAAATAATAAATAATAAATAATAAATAATAATTAATAAATAATAAATAATAAATAATAAATAATAAATAATAATAAACATTTTAAAGAATTAGAAAATTAAATAAAATATTTATAATAATATTAATTAAATAAATATATATATAAATGTGGAACATTAAATTTATGATAATATAAAATACAATATAATTAAATATATCTTACCCAGAGCGCTCTTGATTATTAATATACAAATATTTTAATATTATTTATGTAAATATGAATCAATTAATTTCAATATATGAATTTACTAATAATTAATAATTCATCTAACTCCTTCTTTCGTCAATCTACTTAAGAGCCTCTAAGGGCCACCTGCTGCTTGACTTCCGCAGCCTTAATATGCTCAATTCAATCTTGCCAATTATATGGAATAAATGCCTCAAATCCCATAAATTTTCGCAGACGAGCAAAAACCAGAGCAGCTCAATCGGCCCTATGCTTTGAGCAGGGCAAACAAAATCAAATACAATTCATACAATTCAGCCCCAAACCCTCTGCGTAAATATGGCTAATTAATTAATATATCGACAACTGTTGAAAAAGCTGTTGTTGTTGTTGTTGTCCTGGATTGAAATCATACGGGCCCTAGACTCCACTCAACTCAAATTAATTGAAAATGTCAAAAGTCAGCGCAATTATCGTAAATTATAAACACGCGTCCGGGTCTTTTGTGGGGAGGGCTTACGTCCGATTGCGAAGCCAAATCAAATCCAAATATTATTATTATTATTATTTTTATTACGTGAGTTGGCAAAAATAAAAGCAGCATTGCAACCCCTAACTAACACTGGGGGTGAGTAATTTGTCAACGCATAATGAAATGTCAACAGAAAAATGCAAATACGAAAAAAAAAACCCGTTTATTTATATACTTTTCTATATACGATATTTATATATATACAATATAGTATATGTATATATATATTCTGTGGAGTTAATTGGAAAGCTTTTGCTTGGCTAGGCGGAGCCACATGACTCATGCACAAGAATCAGTGCAAATTTTATATGCAATTCAGGGCAGACAGGCAGACGGACGGACCGAAAGAGTGGCAGGACCCTCGTCTGCTGTAACAAGCCATACAAAATGTTCAAAGCTCTTTTGCCGCAGCATCCTTGCCTGACTATGCAGAAATTTGTCGACCAAAAACCATGTAAAATTATTATGCTGCCATGGAGAAAGCGAGGGAGGGGGAGGTTTGGTGTTGGAGCTGCGAAAACTCGCTTATGACAATGCTTAAAGGCATTTTTTGGCCAGCATCAGCTAAAAAACCAGACAACCAGACAGCAATACCCCGACGGCGACAAGAGTCCGCCCGGACCATGTGCATATAAAGTCCAAATAAACTCAAGTTGTTGACAAAAGGGTTAAAGGCCATAATTGTGGCCAGAGTTCCGGACACAGCTGGGGGCAGTGCCCAGCCCCCTGCCCCTCCCACAAGACGACGGCATTTTTATTGAAAGTGTAAACATGACAGTCATCAAAATTATAAAGCCAAACATTTGGTTCCTTGACAAAGTGGGACTGCAGCTGTTTCTCCTCCTGCCGGCAGCATCTTGCTCTCGGCTCCTGCCTCCTGCTCGGTCTATGCATATTTGTGTGGCACTTGAGTTAAATACAATGTGCCAAATGGGTTCAGAGTAGACGAAAGGCACTGCCTAGACTGCATTAATGCTAAGTGCGACACGGGCAATACAAACTTTGGGACTTTGTGTGTGGAAACTGGGCGAGTCATAAAACGCTATAAATAATTATGATGCGGACAAATATGTGTATGCCATTCGCAAAACCAAATTATATACCTAAGCACTATCAAAGAGACGAAACTGCAAAATATTCGCCATTAAATTTTAGTCTGGGTGAATTCCTGAATTCCTGAATTTTCAACAGCAACCTCTTTGGTTTTGCATTCGCAAATGAAATTGGAATTTCTTCTGTCTTTCGCGTTACTAATTTGCTTAATTAAGTGCTCCGCCCACATTTTCAATTTAGATAAAATCATCAAAAGCAAAAGGGGCTTTAGCTGAAATTAAGAGGGTGAGAGTCCTATTCAATTATCTATTCAACTCAGTCCCGGCATTACGATTTCCATTAGTCCGTTAACAATAACTCAATCAGAGCGCATAAAATAGAGAAAGAGACTCTCCTCTTCTTATATTTCGTCTATGACAAACTATAGATGACTCACCAAATAAAACAGAGATACAAACCGCAGATGGCGAATCTTTTGAAGGGGCATCAGCAATCATTGTGTCCTAAGTAGATTGTGCGAGTCAAAAGCGTCGCAAAACAAACCCCCCGAAAGTCAAGCGAAATTCAAGCGAGCCATATTTATTTTATAAAGCTAACAAATTTGCGCAAATTTTTTGTTTCGCACACTCAAACACAAAGAGACCGAGGCATGCGTGCATATGAATGCGATCCCTAAAGCCGAGTACGAGCAGGAGCAGGAGCCGGAGGGCACAAAAGGCATTGCTCCGAGTGTTTTGTAGCTAACAAGCGGCCTACCCCGTTTCTGTTCTTTTAAGTGATTTCAACCCGGAAATGCCCATAAATCGATTTGGGGGTGGTCCCGTTCCATGGCCCTCCTCCTGCCAGAGCCAGCACTCCTGCCCAAGTCGAGGACATCTTGGTCGCACATGAGGGGCGTTCGCTTTATGGCCTAAATGAATGAATTGAAATGGGCGGCAAGTGTATCGACTTATGTATTGAGTTGAGCACAAGAATGTGATGGCACACTTGTCTCGGCAGTTATGCAGCCCTGCTCTCTCTCTCTCTCTCTCTTTCTCTCACTCTGACCCTGCACAATGCAAATAAAAGTTCATTACAAGCCAACGGCCAAGGCGCTTAAAACTTTTCCTAAATGTATCGAGGCTCGATCCCATTTCCCTTTTGAGCAGTGTTTACTGTACTGTATATGTATATACATATACATACAAGTATATATATCTTACTCTTGCCCCGTTTTA